CCCCCGCCCATCCGGCACCCGATGACCACTCGTGCACGAAGTGGCATTTTCAAACCTAAGCTCTACTCCACATCCTTCACCTCTTCCCCACCTACTACCGAGCCTGTTACCTACAAAGAAGCCTCTCAAAACAGTTATTGGTGCCAGGCTATGGATGACGAATATAAAGCCCTGCTTGATCAACACACATGGGAGCTTGTTCCGGCACCTCCAGACCGGTCTCCTATTGGATGTAAGTGGATTTATAAAATTAAGCATAATGCTGATGGTTCTGTTTCCAGGTACAAGGCCCGTCTTGTGGCCAAAGGTTATACGCAGGAATATGGTTTGGACTACTGTGAGACTTTTAGCCCTGTGGTCAAACAGCAAACTATTAGAGTGGTTCTCTCACTAGCCGTAAGTCAGAACTGGCCCCTTCACCAATTGGATGTCTCCAATGCCTTTCTTCATGGTGTCATTCTAGATGAAATTTATATGAAGCAGCCTCCGGGGTATATCGATCAGCAGTATCCTCATTATGTGTGCAAATTGAGGAAATCTCTTTATGGATTGAAGCAGGCGCCACGGGCTTGGTACCAACGTCTCTCTAGGTTCCTTGTTGACTATGGTTTTGGAAAAAATGAACATGACACAAGCTTCTTTGTCAAGCACTCCCCCTCCGGCATCCTCATTGTTCTCCTTTATGTTGATGATATTATTGTCACTGGGAGTTCCTCTTCTCTTATTTCCTCATTTATTCAGGCCATGCAAACGGAATTTCAGATGAAGAATCTTGGTCCTCTCCATTATTTTCTTGGGCTTGAGGTGACACGCAAACAGGGCCAGCTGATTCTATCCCAGGAAAAATATGCCCGTGAACTCCTCCATAAGGCGGGAGTCGAAGACTGCAAACCGGCACCCACACCCCTACCTGTCCGCCAGTCCGAGGAGGGGGGAAGCCGCCCATTTGAGAATCCCACTTTCTTCCGTAGCTTGGTTGGCTCTCTTCAATTTTTGACAAATACGTGCCCGGATATTCAGTTTGTTGTCAACTATGTTTGTCAAAGGATGCATGCACCTACTGAGCAGGACTTTGAATCGTTGAAACGCATCCTCCGCTATGTCAAGGGGACCATTGACCATGGGTTAATATTTCGGCGTGGCTCACAAACCATCAATGCATACTCTGATTCGGACTAGGCCAATGATATGACAAATAGCCGGTCTGTTACAGGTTATTTGATATATCTTGGGCCTAATTTAATCTCTTGGAGTACGGAAAAACAGAGTCGTGTGTCTCATCCACCGAGGCCGAGTACAGGGCCCTCTCGGCCGCAGCAGCTGAGGTGATGTGGATCACCTATTTGTTTGACATTTTGCAGATTAAGCTACCTCCTCCACACCTACTCTGCGACAACCAGTCCACCATCTGTCTAACCAAGAATCCAGTGTTCCATAAACGCATGAAGCATGTCGGCACTGACTGTCACTTTGTACGCGAACAGGTAATTGCCAAAAAAATGACAGTCTCCTATGTTCCTTCCAGTGAGCAGTTAGCGGATCTTCTCACAAAGGCTCTCGCTTCACCACGCTACTCCACACTGGTTGCCAAGCTTCCTCTCGTTTCACGACGTTCAGCTTGAGGGGGGATGTTAGGCATATATGGCAAGAAGTGTAGTTATGGTAGAAGTGTTATTTATGTTAGTTTACATATTCGGTGAATCCTAATTCATGTAGGGATCCTCACCTATATAAACACCCATGTATACAATTATTCAGTTGAGTTGGATTACTAAATCAACAATATCTATACATAAAGAAAAAAATACAATTTAAATATTTTAAAAATACTCTCTTTGTCCCTAAGTGTCAAAATTCTAATTTTTTTTCACATGTTGGTCAAACTTCTTAATATATACGGAGTATACTCTTTCTATCTCGAAGTGTCAAAATTTTACTCCCTCCCGAGATACAAGACAAAATCTCTCGTCCTTTAAAATTGTTTTATTTACAAATTAGTATATCAATATGAAATAAAATTACATATTAAAAAATTGTGTCAAAAATTCTAGAAAATGAGAGGTGACAATAACATTTTATTTTAAAAAATATTTAATGAAAGCAGACAAATAAACAAAAGTTATCGTGAGAGAAGAAAAAAATTGTAATCTATTTGAGAACGGAGGAATATTTCTCTATGCCACCTAAGATATGTCAATTTAACTTTTGAATAGGTGAATACAACTTTTGAATAACTTTTAATTAAATTAAAATTTCCTTATTATTGTTAGAATAAAAATGTTTTAATTAAATTTATATTATAAGAATATTTTAAATGCTACTCAAAATTTATTGATACGGATAGTTAGTTATAATATTATTATTATTTATATTATTATTTAGTAGTTATTTATTATTATTATTATTATTATTTATTGATGGTTTAGGGTTTAGTATGGGCCCGAGCCCATTAGGTCAATTAGGGTTTTCTGCGTCTTTATATATTGTAACCTTTCGTTATTATTAATCAATCAATCAATAATCAATAATTCTCTTAATCTCTCGTCTCTCTTTCTTGGAGCCCGGAAATGCTCGAAGTTTTCATTCTCTCTTCGCCTCCCCTTTCTTGGAACTTGAAGAACGCTCGAAATTCTTCCCTATCCGATACTTATTCGTATCATTTATCTACTTTGACTATAAAACATCACATTGAAGAAAAAAATGTATTCGAAGATTCATGTCATTATATTGTTTTGAAAGAGATATAAAATCTCTTGCTTTTGACTTGGAACATTGAAAATTAAAAGTTAGGCCCCTTTGACCATTTCTCCGACCATCTTTGGATCATTTTCCAATAAAGAGGGTGCACAAAGCCCTATTTTTCAACCCATATGAGATAACATAGCTCATTTTCTATTTTCCTTTTATTTGTTGGTTTTTTCCCTTTTTATCTTCTTTTTCTTCTCTTTGTTTGCTTTATTAGAGGTTTTTTTATTTCATTTCTAAATATTTTAAATAAATTTTTAAAATTTCAAAATTGTTTGTGTTCGAATAAAAAACAAAATGAGAAAAAAAACATATACTTCATATATTTGAAATCAAACATTTTCATTTTTTTTGTTTTCCAGAATAAAAATAAAATGCTTTTTGGGAAGTTCAAAAAATAAAATTAAGATTAGAAAAAAAAGAAATAAAATAAAATAATAGAAAAATAAATGAAAAGATAAAAAATACTCTTCGAAAAGGAAAATGTAGCTATCGAGTGCGCTAATAAATTTCCTTGTCTAGATGTCTAAAAAAATCCTTATAATTGGAATGCCCAAAAAATTACTGTATTATTTTTAAATTTAAAAATAAAAAGAGGATTTGTTTAAATTTTTGAATCTGTTGGGCGCTAGTCCAAAAAAATCTATTTTTCTTAATCCAACCGATCAAATAAATGAATTTTTTGACATCCCGAAAAAGAACCTTATAAATACATGTACTTCATGACTACCTTTCCTTTTTTATAGGAGTATTTTTTGTATGTTTTTCTAATCCTTCATTAGGTTTATCTTTCCTTTTCTTTCATTTATTTTTTTCTATTTCTATATGTGTAATCCTAATTCTACTAAATATATAGAAATAGAAAATAGAAAAGATAAATCTAATCTTAATATCAATCCTAATCCTAATAGATAGATCTAGAAAATAAATTCAAGGCATTTTCTAACAAATCTCTACCTTGAATTTACTGCTTTCATAAGAAAGCAGATGCACGAGAATTAGATATGTAAAAATACCAAATTTCTTCACAAAGGTGACCTGATGTATTGTAGGTACTAGAAGTGTATCCTCGGACACAGAAAAAGATTGTTTCACTCGTGTTCAGAAGTGTAACATCCTAATAACACTTTTAATAGCTCCACCTGAGCCAAGGTCGCTCCCTCTTGGGGTGCAGAGCGCCTCACTCGAGGCACAGAAACAATGTAGATGATTCTTTTAGGTGATTGATAGTGTCAATGTCAGCAGGTGGAACCCCCAACTTAACATCAAGACTATCATCAAATATATGAATCTCAAAGGATACAACAATAACAAAACTTGCCACAGCACAACGCAATAGACACTCGTAACTACACCTTTATCCTGGAAACTGAAACCCTTTCTATTAAGACAAGCTAAGGATATCAAATTCTTCGTCAAAACACTACTGCAAAAACTACCTTTTGAATCAGTTATTTTTTTTACCATTTGCATCAATTCTTTACCAATACAAAAGGCAACGAATAATTGGTGCAAACAGTTTTTACATCAGTTATTAAGCTGATGCAAAAGACATTTTATCACACCAGAATTCCCTTTTAGAAGACCTTTTATATCGGTTATTCTCAAATAATTGATAAAAACATTTTTTTAATTTAAAAAAATATTTGCATTGATTATTTTAAAATAACTCATTCTTTTTAGCTACAAAAATATATATAAAAAAGGGTTAAGGGGCAAAATAGGAGTAAAACATTGATAAAATCCCAAAATAGGAGTTGGATGTGACATCGTCGCTCCACCGCCACACTCTCGCTGCCATCGTCATTACGTGTTGCCCACTGCATCTCTACCGCATGCGACTGTCACTTGAATTTCTGCTGTTGGCTTACCCCGTCCAGACCAGGATTATGTGCCACCGCGGTAAAAATCCAACATTGTTGCCCTTTATTTTTTACCGACAGCAACAACATCACCATTCTACCACCATCACACTCCGCACCATTGCCAACACCACCATCACACTCTGCACAGTCTCTGTCGCAGTGCCACATTAATAACAATGAAGGTATAATCCCAAACAAGGCCACATATAATGTCACATATGGCAATACAATGCCACATATTATCATATATAATGTCACATATGGTAATGCACGATGCCACAAATTACTATATATAATGTCACTGTTGTAAATGTAAAATGTCAAACAAATAAATAATGTCAAACTCAACCACTGACCTGCAATAATACTCCCAGTGACCATCATCCATCTCACGGCTACCGTTATGGCAGCCGGATGACCAACCGTCATTGACAACGGCAGAAGGGGAATCAGCGGAATCAGTGGTGGTGGAGACCAAAATTCTCCCCAAATCCCTGTAATCAGTAGCAAAACCAATCAATTTTGGATCTAGAACAATCCACATACTTCACTTAGCCTAGACTGTTCAGACTATCAAGGAGGCATCACTGGGGCGACACTTCCATTTTGCTGGAGATGCGACTGCCGACGGGGGAGCATAGGAAAACAGGACCATTGGATGAATTAGATTCGGATCCCAATGACTTTTGCTTCCGGGGAGTGGGAATTCCGATCTCAATACTGGACGATGCCGGATCTGATGCTTTGATCCCGCCAACGAGTCTAGGCGAGCTACGGGCAAAGCTTGTTTAAAGGAGTTGCGGTAGAAGGGGAATCAGCCGAAGGGGCAATTTTTTTCCCTTTCTGGATTGAGTAGGGAGCATGAGAATAGACGGGTTTTTTTTCCTACTTCTATTTAGAAGAGTTTATATTTGAACTCCTAATTTGAAGATATAACATACTCCGGTATGTTTTAATTTTATTTGGGGTTTTTCTTTGGATTATGCTATGTGTACCCCAAATTTTGTACCCCAATTTGTAACCCGCAGTTTTGCACCGACACTTTGTGTTGGTGTAAAACTAATACTCCCTCCGTCCCCCTGTATTTGTCCACTTTCATTTTTGCACACCATCCAATGCACTTCTTTAATCCATTTTATCTTTTAATTTGTATATTAAAAAATTATAAAAATTATATATTAATAGTCTATATGTTAATATAAATCAAACAAGATCACACATGAATATATTTAGGCTTACACATTGAGAGAATTTGATGAGTCAAAGTGCTTAGATGAACAGTTCCAAAAGTCAAATGTAGACAAATACAGGAGGACAGAGGGAGTATTTGTTAAATGCACCAACATTTGTGTCCGTATGAATTTTTATTAACGCACCAACACTTGTGTCGGTGTAAACCATCGAAATGTTTGTGCAAACCTGTGGTGTACAAATGAGATATATTTTTTGGTGTAAGTGTAGCATGGTCCTTTTTCTTTATAAAAAAAGGGGATGAACTAAGAGAAAAGTATTGTAAAATTAGAAATAGGGGAAGAGAAAAAACAGGAGAATAGATAAAGATGAGAAATTTTTGGGCACACATGGGTTTATGCAAAAAGAGTTGATAATATCATCCGAAAAGGGAACATCCATAGCCGGCTGCTGCCGGTGTGAAATTGCAAGGAAGGCGTGCTTTGCCGGCGTTCCTCTTCGCCGCCACGTGCATCATTCCAGGTTTCTCTGCTTTCACTTTCTCAATTTCCGTTTAATGAATGGATCAGTGCTTCAAGGGCTTGTTTGGTAGAGGGATTTTGAAGCGGAGGATTGATATCTGTTTTGTCAATTACGGAGTAATTTATCTCAACTTCGTGTTAGTCTTAGTTTAGAAAATCCACTAACATCTGCAGACAGCGGATGATTTGGCTCTGATCAGAATGTGATTTTAAAATATTTTTTTATCAATCTGATGCTGTATTTGATTTCAAATTGTCTTTTATTATTAGGGTTTCTTTTGTCAGTCTCATACAGTTTGAACTACATTTCAGTTGTGTTGCAGTTATCTGCTTGAAGAATGGCATTTGCTTTACATTCACATTTCCTTGACAACCGGAGCATTCGTTCTCAGAAAAGGGTTAGCTGGGCTGCCTCTGAGCGTGTAGCTGTAGTGGAATTCTCTCCACCTAGATGGAGACTCACACGAGTGAAACTTCCTAAAACTCTTAGGATATGCAGTTTTTTGGGTTATAGATGTACTGGCCTTCGTTTACATATAAATGAGAATAGCTCTTTGATGAGAAATAATAACATTGGTACTTATAAGGTAAATACTCCATAGTTGATTTCTTCCTATTTATGCATTCGGCTTTTCGCTGCTATAATTTTTATTGTGAAGTCTTATTCCTTGCTTGAAGTGTTAACAAAATTTAGATAGTTGGTTAGTACTGTAATATTCATGCCACCCACCCCTATGGTATGTTTGGATCCCGAAAAATGCTAAGGAAAGGGAATAATGCTAAGGGAAGTCAGTCTACTTCCTTGAAATTTCCTCGGACACTTTCCTTTTCATTTAATTCCCCTAGCATTTTCTGAGTTCCAAACCTACACCAACTACTTTGGATCAAGGTTGCTGGTAGATCTTGTTTTATGTTTGTTGTCGCTCCCTTTGCCTTATATGTGTATTTTGCTGATTGTAAGTTGCTTTAGGAGATATCCAAATACTGGGAGTCATTACCCACGGTCATCGGTAGGAAGTGGGGCCACTTTGCGAAAACTGCAATAATAACTGCATTTGTCTTAATGGTAATTCCAAATGCTGATGCAGTGGATGCTCTAAAAACTTGTACTTGCTTACTGAAAGAGTGCAGGTATTTCATGGAATATGCTTGCCTGGTAAAGCACTAGCATGACATTATGCCTAAAACATGACAGCAGATGTGTTAGTACGTGATTTGATTAGTAATTTTTATTACGTAGTAGTATCCTTAGGAAAGTTTTGATCTAGTGGTAAGGTGGCCATATTACCTCTAACTAATCCTCCATATTGGTCTTAGTATAGGAGTCTTAAGTATGAATCTCTTATTGATTCATGTAACCGACTCCATTTTAGTTGGGATAAGGCTCGGTTTTTGTATGAGTTTAAAGTATGCATAGGAAAAAATGGAGTGTACTAAATATTGTATTTTCTTTATAAAAAAACTCATAATGTGAAATATAAAAAATTTCTTGAGACAACACTTATTGTGCAGCAAAGGGTCACGATAGAGATACCAAAACCTCTTTAAAGATTAAAGACATCTACTGTCTAGTGTTTAAAAACAAGCCTCTTGCGAAAATGCAAAATTTGTTTGCAACACACTCTTACTGTGGGACCCTTCTCTGGTCTCTCGCTCAGCTTGGATGCGTTGTGAACCTGGCTCCCCTTTTTGTATAATTTATGAATTATTATCTATAAGTCTACAACATGATATCAATCAAGTTAATGAATATGGTGACGAATCAGGTTGGAGCTTGCCAAATGTATAGCAAACCCTTCATGTGCAGCCAATATTACTTGTCTCCAGACTTGCAACAATAGACCCGATGAGACAGAATGCCAGGTAAGTCTGTTTGCATTCCTTCCTCTTGCCCATGGAAACCAAAGTTAAATCTTCTTGTGTTTACATTGCAGATAAAATGTGGTGATTTGTTTGAAAACAGTGTGGTAGATGAGTTCAATGAGTGTGCAGTGTCACGAAAGAAATGTGTACCTCGTAAATCAGACGTGGGCGAATTTCCTGCTCCCGATCCAAGTGTTCTTGCCAAAAACTTCAGGATGAAAGATTTTGAGGGGAAATGGTTTATAACCAGTGGATTGAACCCCACTTTTGACGCATTTGATTGCCAAGTGCATGAGTTCCATGTTGAAGGTGACAAACTTGTGGGTAAATTATCATGGAGGATTCGGACACCAGATGGAGGATTTTTCACCCGGTCAGCTGTGCAGAGATTCGTGCAAGATCCACAGTATCTGGGAATACTATACAACCATGACAATGAATATCTGCACTACCAAGATGACTGGTATTTCAATCTTATGTTAAACATTTTAAGATAGTTCACCTCATTCATTCATTTCATTTCAACCAAACTCTACCCTCACCAAACAAACTCAAAACACAGGTACATTCTGTCATCCCAAGTGGAGAACAAGGCAGATGACTATATATTTGTATATTACCGAGGGAGAAACGACGCATGGGATGGATACGGCGGCGCTGTACTGTACACAAGGAGTGCCGTCTTGCCCGAGAGCATAGTTCCTGAGATACGGAGGGCAGCTGAGAGGATCGGGCGGAATTTTGACCAATTCATCCGAACAGACAACTCGTGTGGGCCTGAGCCACCCCTCGCGGAGAGACTGGAGAAGACAGTGGAAGAGGGGGAGAAGAGCATCATAAAGGAAGTGGAAGAGATAGAAGGGGAGGTGGAGAAGGTGAAAGACACTGAAATCAGTCTGTTCAATAGGCTGTTGGAAGGGCTGAAGGAAGTGCAGAAGGATGAAGAGTACTTCTTGCGGGAGCTGAGCAAGGAAGAAAAGGAGATTCTTGATGGGCTTAAAATGGAAGCCACTGAAGTTGAGAAGCTGTTTGGTCGGGCCTTGCCTCTGAGGAAATTAAGGTAGGGTAAAACATATGTTGCTTGTCTGATTGGTTGTGATTTGATTTGATTAAATTCTGATTTGATCGGATTGTAGTTATATTTAAAGTTATTTATGATCTGATATGATTCTAATTAGAATAAGTATAAAGTAAAAAAATTTTAAGAGAAGAAAACCCATTAACGTCTTAAAGGCTTTTTTTTTCATTGTAAAATCCGAACAGAACATAAGTTCGGATTATTACATTTTATTTTGCGGTTCTAATCTTCTATCAACAATAGTCATCTTCTATCACAAAAACTCATTATAACAGTCATACTTCTTTTAGAGTAGACTTTTTGTTACTTTATATGTTCGTCTCGGAGAGTTTGTTCATATTTTTTGCTATCAAAATTGACAAACTTTAATTATACTTTCATAAAATTCATATTAGATATTGATTTAGAATTAATTTTACCCCAGAGTATTAGATTTATCTAGTTTTGAACCTCTTTTTTCAACCTTAGGCTTCCTTTAGTAATGACGTGCAAAGTTTTTTTTGAATACATGTTGATTTTTGAGTTTCGATTCTCTTGATTTCGGTAATCTTTTTTCGTTTTTACCGAGTAGTAATATTGATTCTTTATTCCTCGTCATTACAAGAATATTAAACGCTATGGTCATTGTTTTTTCCTTTATAAATAAAAAGATTTCAATGGACATTATTCATCTAGCAAATGATATTATTGGAGAATTGAAATCATCGAGATCACGAAGAGAGTGGATCAGAAAAGACATTAGGCAGGGTGATAGAAAAGCTATATATGGACATTGCGTGATGGACGGTAGGCGGTAACCGTGTTATAGAACAAGTTATGAATTAGGGTTTGTCTTTTTCTTCAAAGACGCTAAGGATTTGTTCTCTTCGATTTATTTAATTGGTTATGATCTAATTTGATTAGCTTGTGATGTGGTCGTGGTTATAAAGTTTGCTTTAACCATTACAAAGTGGTGAGTTGGTAAAAAATTGTAAACTTGGCTTTTTAAAACATGATTTGGGGATTTTTAGAATGAGGTGGGCCATACATGCCTGCAAACCAACTTCACCTTTTCTTTCTACTAACGTGTAAAACCCTGAATGGTTATTTCTTAGTTTTATTGTTGGTAGGTTTAAAGAAATTGGTAGTTTTATTGGTATAGGAATAAATTTGAAAAAGTTGGTGGATTTAACGTTGTTAAAGTTTTTTTTAGCTTTATTGTTACAACCATCCTCATTTTTTACGTCTAACAGCCAGTGAGTGAGATGATAAACCGAGTCTGGACGAGGCAAATTGACAAACTAAGTCACTAAAACTAGTCAAACCCCAAATTCATATGGAAAATCACTTTCTAGTGAGTAATTTTATATTTTGAAAAGGTCATAATACGCTTTAAGAAAAATATTTTCCGAAAGGTAGAAAATATGATCATTACCATGTGCATTGTTTATTCCTCGTCATTACAAGAATATTGATTTTTTATTCCTCGTCATTACAAGAATATTAAACGCTATGGTCATTGTTTTTTTCCTTTATAAATAAAAAGATTTTAAACATAATGGACATTATTCATCTAGCAAATGATATTATTGGAGAATTGAAATCATCGAGATCTCGAAGAGAGTGGATCAGAAAAGACATTGGGCAGGGTGATTGAAAAGCTATATATGGACATTGCGTTATGGACGGTAGGCGGTAACCGTGTTATAGAACAAGTTATGAATTAGGGTTTGTCTTTTTCTTCAAAGACGCTAAGGATTTATTCTCTTCGATTTATTTAATTGGTTATGATCTAATTTGATTAACTTGTGATGTGGTCGTGGTTATAAAGTTTGCTTTAACCATTACAAAGTGGTGAGTTGGTAAAAAGTTGTAAACTTGGCTTTTTAAAACAAGATTTTGGGATTTTTAGAATGAGGTGGGCCATACATGCTTGCAAACCAACTTCACCTTTTCTTTCTAGTAACGTGTAAAGCCTTAAATGGTTATTTCTTAGTTTTATTATTGGTAGGTTTAAAAAAATTGGTAGTTTTGTTGTTATAGATAAATTTGAAAAAGTTGGTGGATTCAAACTTTAATTTTGACGTGGCATTGATGTGGCGTTGTTAAAGTTATTTTTTTAGCTTTATTGTTGCAACCATCTTCATTTTTTTACGTCTAACAGCTAGTGAGTGAGATGATAAACTAAGTCTGGACGAGGCAAATTCACAAACTAAGTCACTAAAACTAGTCAAACCCCAAATTCATATGGAAAATCACTTTCTAGTGAGTAATTTTATATTTTGAAAAGGTCATAACACGCATCAAGAAAAATATTTTCCAAAAGGTAGAAAATATGATCATTACCATGCATGAAAGCAAAATTTTTAACATGAAAGGAAAAGAAACATTATACTCCGTATTTGGTCAATTCCCTACCAAAGACGGACTATTTTTGTTTCATTAAATGACATATACTCTCTTCGTCCTAAAATTTTCCTCTCAGCTCAGTTCATGAGTTTTAACTAAAATTATTTTTAATTCAATTTGTTTCATTATTGATGAAAAGTTAAAAAAATTATAATTATACATTTAAAATCTACATTAAAAGTTTTACAAAAACAGAGGGAACATGATAATATTATATAACTTAGATGTCAAGAATTTAAATTAATTGAAGGGGGTGGGGGTGTGTTCGGGTCGGGGCGGGGCGGGGGGGTTTACCGGGGGATTAGGAGGGGTAGGAACCGTCAATTTTACGAACAGGGCACCAGAGCGCCCCCGGGTCATCCCATGACATTGGGAACCAATGTCACGGGACCTTCCCCTATAAAATAACTAACGAAAATATGTAAAAAAAAAGTGATTAAATTTTGACCATTTAATCGAATACTACGTGAAAAGAAAATGTTAGGACAGAAGGAGTATTAAATATTAACACAGCTTTCTTTCTTTCACCTTTCTTTGGGAAGACATTTAGTCAACAACCAAAAACCATATGAAAATGCAACCCCCACTCACATAGTCTCACTTTCCTTCCATTATTATAACATTTCTCATTTCTTGAATTGCTAGCTAGCTCCATCCAAGCTCTACAACCATGGCTGCCATTGTAAGTTCCATTTTTCTTACCTTTTTCTAATTTCTTTCCCTTATAGTGTAAAATATGCTTATCTTAACCCTTAGTAAATGCTTAACTAGCATATATATATATATATATATAATATTTTGCCAAGTATAAAATATTTTGTGTTTTCTAAATTACAAGTTTGAAATTTTAGTCGAATTTAACTTAGATGTCAAGAATTTAAATTAATTAATTTTTATACATTATTACCGTCGTGCTTGTATATTTATTCAGTTTTACTCTCTCCGTCTCAAACTAAATTATTTGTTTACTATTCAAAAGGTTAAACTTTTTTTTAATTTTTTTCTCTATATTCGTTATAATAATGTTGTCATGTCACCGCAAGTTTTGTAGATCTTTTGATCTAGTTTTTTAATATGTAAATTTTATAATTTAATTCTACACCATTCTTCATATAAAATGATTTAAAAGTAATTTTAACCAAACATCATAAACCCAAACAGACAATTTAAATTAGAACAAAGAAAATAATCTTATTTAGATAAAATGATATAAAAATATTATATATAAGAAATATAATACAAAGTAATACCCGGAGTATTATTTTAATATCAATATCTAATACTTTTATCGATTTCATTTAATTAGTGATCAAAATTTATCAATTTTAATTGCAAAAAATCAAAACTGAACAAATATATCAATAAACTAAAATTGAAGTTGATATTGTTTTGGGTGATGCGCGTAGAAGAGTAAGCGGAGCGGTCAAATTCCGGCGTTTGGGGAATGGGAGGCGGCGGACCGCCTCCCCATCACACAGTGCTTTGGGAACGCCCCGCAGGCCAGCCTCAGCGGCTATTCCCGTGAAAGTGCAACCGCCGTGGTCGCCTCTCATTTCCGCCTACCGCCGCCGCCGTCTCCTGCCGCGGCGGATATCTTTCTTCCTTCGTCAAAGGTTCGTTTGTTGATCGATTTTTCATTTCCTTCTTTACCGTCAGATAGTAGTTTAACTAACTTCAAATTAGGAAGTATTGAAGAAATCCTATTAATAAGACTTTATGATTCTCCGTGCTACATGTATATATTACTTTCTGTTGCGCAAAACGAAGAAAAATCCCAAGTTTTTTCAATCTATTTTATTTAAATATTGGTATAGAAATAAAAAATAAAACATACTACCTCCGTCCCATAAAAAAGTTCCCATTTTAACCATAAATTGGTCAAACTGTTGCACACTTTGACAATAAATTAAATATAATCTAAATAAAGAAATGCTAAAAAAATTTGAGATATCAAAACTAGATCCTAAGATGAATCCAATTATATAAAATTTATTTCATAATTCAATATACTTTTCTCACAATTTGTAGTCAAAGCGTGTAAATATTTGACTAAATATTATTCAAAATGGGAACTTTTTTGTGGGACGGAGGGAGTACATATTTAAAAACTACATCAAAAGTTCAACAAAACAAGTGGTGACAAGAATATTTTATTTTATCATATATGCTATGAAAAAACACAAATAAATATAAATTCCCGTGAAGTTAGAATAGTGCTCTGGGAAGAAAGTTTTAGGATGGATGGAGTATATTTTTGTTTTGACTTTTTGTGATTTTTAAAAAGTAATTGAAATAAGTAAGGTGTAATAAATAAAATATATAAGGATATTAGTGATATTTTAAATATTAAAAACGGTGATGAGAAGATCTATGTGGATAAATAAAAAAACTAACGAAAAGATATACTCCGTTTGAGGGACGACGGATGGAGTATTATATAATCCCTCCATCTTAATTTTTATACATATATATTTTCTATCTTTTGCACTCAACTACAACCCACATTGACCAATAATTAAATCAAAACTAGATGGTACATTAATTAGTTAAAATTATTTTTTGAAAAAAAAATTCTAATAAAATTATCATTATATCGATCGATATCTAATATAGATTTTATTTAAATAATGATAAAAAATTATCATTTTTTTACAGCAAAAACTTAAAACTAAACAAATACTCATGAGTGGAAGTTGTATAATTTTGTCTCCTAAATAAGAGTATCATTGATTGGTACCATGAAATGCTTTTATTTTGACATTGTTTGTTTGCATTTTACAGTACATTTTTGTATTATATGTTGACATTACTTGACATTATTTGGTATATCATTCCCTCAAAAAAATTATTTGGTATATCATATTTTGATATAAAATTTTAAAGATTATATTTTGAATACTATATAATAAAACTGTTTTTCTTTTTTTTTAAAAAATATGGATTGTATACCAAATGACGGCGGTGCGGGGGTGGGTTCGAGACGAGCAGAGGTGGAGTGGTTTATTGGAAAGTTAGAACGGTAGGACTCATCAATTTTTCGAATAAACACCGTAGATATCCTAATGGGGTCCATCATCAATGTCATAGGATGACATGAGGAGCTCATGTCAGCAATAATGTTAATACGAGGCTAGGTAAAAACTCGGCGTGATGTGGGGCTACCGAGTTTTTCCAAACCAATCTAAATTTTATCTCACCGAATAACTTTAATATCTGATTCTAGGTTCGACTGGTCCAATCGATTGACCGGTCTGATTTTAATGAGTATTGGGCGGTTAAGTGCAGATGAAGAGATACTCCCTAGGTGGTAGGGCTCAGCCAAGAAAGCCGGACCCCGATGCACTTGAGAAGAACCGGTCCGGTTCACAGAAGCCATTTCTAGAACAAAGTAATGCCTCTAAACCGGTGGATGAAGATCTCTACCAAATCCCCCCGGAGCTCCTCCGCAGTGGAAACCGAGTATGCATTCATTATTTTGGCTCTTCCTCTACAAATTAATTCGAATTTTTTATTTTACAAAGTTTAAGAAACATATTCAAAAAAATATTCGATGGAAAGCGAATGATTGATATGAAAAAACAGAAATAAAGTTCAAAATATTTGATGGAGTAAATTTGAGTACAGAATACTCTCTACTTCACAAAATGTTCTTTTCACTCTCCTTTTTTGTCCTTTCAGAAATATTTTTTTCATTAATTTTTTAGTCTATTTCACTACTAATCTATTTTTTAATAAGAAAAGAAACTCTAAAAGTTTATAGTACGTGTATTTTTGTAAATTTGGCATTTTCTAGTACTCTTTAATAAGAGTGCGAAGTCAACGCGTGAATAAAGTTTTCGGACGAAGAAAGTATAATAGAAGACACATAGTTGATTCAAAATTAATGAGCCAGATTAGTTAAAACCCCGAACATTTAGGTGAAATCAGTCTTATGAGACTAAAATTAAGACTGAGATTACATTTATTTTGTAAAGGGAATAGAAAAGTGTTAAATCAGAAGTGTATTTGCGATGGATGATGTAATTACTGTAATTAATGTGCCTCGTTTTTGTTTGCAGAAGAAATTTTTTGGATTCTTTTCAAGATGCCTTGCTCCTCGGGTGGCATAAATTTGACAAAAATGCAACAAAGATACAATTATACATATACATATACATATACATATACATATACATATACATATACATATACATATACATATACATATACATATACATATACATATACATATACATATACATATACATATACATATACATATACATATACATATACATATACATATACATATAATTATATGTATACACACACACTATCTATAGGAATACTATTCTTTCTTTCCAATTATGTGCTATGCTTGTATGAAGTTCATGATCTTTTGTTTTAGTGTCAAGATTAGTGATAGAATTTTGAATGGAATATAAGTAACTAAAACTAAAAATATAATATTTGGACCGAACTATCTCAGAAAATTGAATCTAATTACTTCAATTTATTATCGAATTCAAGAGCTTATAAATTCATGTATGATGACTACCTCAACAACCTCGAAAAATGATCGAGATGCTCCCAATAAAGTTAAACGATGTGGTTGCCATCTTCCCGACCGGCCAACCAACAACCGCCGACCACATCAAAGAGATGGGGAGAGAGGCTAGGGGGGTGTGGGTGCGAGAGGTTCCCAAACAAGAGAGGAAGAAAAGGAAGCGAGTGGGAGAGAAGACGGCTTAGGGGCGTTCATCAGACACTTGCCTTTTATGTCGACCCACGAACAACACCGAAGCTACATTGGATTCTCAATGCGCTTGCCAACGCCACACCAAACAACCTAAAACGTTATGGAACGCCAACCCTAAGTGCCTCTACACCCCGACCCGACTGAACAGTGAATGAGTAGATCATTGTATAATTTTAGTTTGATTCTTAAGGAGACTGTCTTGTGTTCGGTGCGCACAAAGAACTATCACATTAGATAAAACTTTCACACTATCACTACCAGAATTCGATTCTGAAATCTCAGACTTAACACTCCTCCCTCATAACCATTCAAGCTACTCGTGCGAGTCTCCTTAATGTCAATGCTATTCTCTATATAGTACGTAGTACGGAGTATCATTTACTAGTAGTTCAATATTACTTGGTTTAAAATTAGATTACAATCAATTCAACACCATTTAATTTAACAATCTAATTGATATGAACCAATCGAAAACAATGGCCGAGGAATAAAAGAAAGAGGCCAGTCTTTAGAAGAAAATCCAGAGAGGAATAGAGTTAAACTTTCTGCATGTCTCTGTACATATACAACCTTGGGTTCTAAGAATATAATGCTAAACTATTTTACACGTAGTACTAATTATAATGATGGTGATAAAATTAAAAACGGTATAGAATTAAAAAAAATAAAATTACATATTTAAAACTACATTATAAGATTTACAAAACTAGTAGTAACATGATTGTATTATTTTATCGAATGACTTACGAAAAATAAGAAAAGAAAGTAAATAAAGTTTAACTCTATTTAATTTTGAGATAGATGAAGTATAAGGCATGTATCACCTAAAAGAGGGTTATTCCTTTCTTTCTTAAAGAAAAGAATTGTGGTTTATACTATATTTTTAACCGATTGAGTTATTTTGTTTACTAATATTCCCCTTATATCATATATTTTCACCCATTTTGTATATAAATAGCTTTGAAAATAAATTCATTCAACCATGTCACTAGACTTTTAACAATTTTTTAAATTATGTTTCTCTTAAAGCCGATGAAATTCTCTACGAAAAATAATATTTTTGTTCGCACGTCAAGTGCGTTTGTCACACACACCTGTTTAGACAGTACACATTTACCAAGCTTCTCAGAGGCATCAGTGCAATAAATTTCAAGGACCCAATCTCAATGGGTAACAAACTAACACTGTAAGGTCAAACACATAACCTTTGTATGGGAGAGAGTATATTTCATATTGGAATGATGGAAAATCATGGGTCACCAGAAACATGTAATATAACTCTTACCCAATCCTTTAAGAGCAAATAGGAACAAACCCTTTAATTATCTTAAAACACACTATACAAAAGTTTGCAGCTCTCACAGGCCAATGCCTATCTACCCTAAAAGCAGTGAAGAAAAGGTGTTCATTCGATTACATTGGAAAGTAAACAAACCATTATATTAGAGTAGCAGAAGAGACACTGTAGAGAATGGAGGTGGAGGAGGAGGAAAACTTCAGACTTACGGATTAGGAAATATCAGCGATACGGCACATTGTGATCTCCTGTTGTTTGAAGTAGCGCCGATCCTCCTCATCAACCAGAACAAGGTTCAAATAGTATTTCACGCTGAATTTGTTATTTATATTCAGATATGTCGGTGTCAGTTCGTATGGACTCAAAAATAATCTGATGGGAATCGACTCGCCTGCACAATCAAGCAGTTTCGTTGATCTTTAGCAAAGTTTATAGAGGAATAGAGTGAAGACCACACATGGCGGACTCTTGGCAGCCTTAGCATCTGCTTTTTTGGCAAACGCTACGGGCCCATTTTGGAGGGTTATACGATATGGGTTTTGAGATATAAAATGATGGTTATTAGTGATAGATGGGGATGGCCAGCAACAATGAGTGGGCAGCAGGGTGGGGGGGAGAGGATACAACATCCCAGATTGGCATCTCCCACATTTGGGAAATATCAAAACACCTCCATTTGGGAGAGTTGTGATATCGTGACATATAACCCTGTTTAGGCTTCGCCAAACACTTACAAAAAGATTATGATATCGGGAGATAACACAGCTCATATGTTGCATTGTTGTGCACTCATCAAAAAGGCCCTAAAAATTTTCACATTGTTCCACCTATAATGGAATAAAAGTGCAGGAAGTTTTTGAAATCGATGAGAAATTAAAGAAAATAAGATTTCTTTATTCATTTTTAGAAATCATTCTATTTATTTTATCCAAATCTGTAAGAAAAATAAATGCCCGCCTAATTTACGTCTAGCAACTATGATTGGTCACCCTATGATACCAACATAGGACCCGTATTTCCATCCCCAAAAGCTAGCTCAAAGGGAGGACAGTCGAAGGCCAATATATCCCACAAAGAGGGCACCTCGCCGACCGATGTGGGAACTTACCCGGGTATTGCAACACCCTAGTGCCTAACACATTATAGAGCATTGGCGATACTACCTCTAACAGGAGCACCATCCATCAACTCAAACTTTGCAAGGGTCTCTGTCTCAACGTGAGTATTTGCTCCCGACCCTGTTGATTCCCGGCGTCTGATCTCAAGATCCATGTTCTTTATCTTGATTCGTACAAGTAGGAAATATATCTTCCCTATGATCACATCTTTCAAATGATACCTGTTTGTGTATTAGAAAAAAAGGCACGCATATTAACCAAACTAGAAATGCTACAGCATTTTTCTGAAAATTATAATCTTACTTGCTTTTGTTGTACTCAAACTCTATGTGAAGGCAATCTTCAATTCCAACTTCCATCTAAAAAGTGCAAAAATGAATGAGTGCTACTGTAAGTCAACCCAGTGGCAGCTAATTGCATGGCAAGAAAGATATCACAAAAAGATAAACTTTGATTTCTACATAACATACAAATATTGTAAAATGTTGTGCGGATTATATGTTCAGTACCTTAATGCTGTTGTTGATTGTAGGCGGTGGGCTATAGTTCCGCACCTGATTCATAAATGTATTAAGCTAAAAGTGGAGTGAAAGAAAGAAACATGAAGTGCCATGTGAAGAAACAAAATCATACCACAAAATCTTGGTATTCCACTATGCTGCCACCATAGCCTCGGCTTATAGTAACTTTCAGAACATACCTAAAAGCACCACAAAGTTAATGTCGCGATCATGTGTGATATATTACTTTGTCCACTAGCATCAATAAATGGGAAATCAAGAAAGTACTTAGAAAATAATAAGGAAAAAATGTTGATTATTTTTCTAATCTACTGTCTTTGATATAAAAATATTGAAATTGAAATCCATTCACTGCAACAAAATAGAATAATACGTTGCAAAGTGTTTATCACTAGTTGTATGTCATTAATTATCATTTGCAAGCTTGATGTGCAAGTTTCTTTTGTGTTTCCCTCTAGCATGGTTTTGTTTTTGTTTTTTATTTATAGTTTTGCTGCATAAATTGTGGACCTTTTGGCGAGAGTGAAAGTGCGCAAGCATCACAACTTGCAAAACTTGGAATGCGCATCTCTTTTAAATGCACAAATTACAGCCAATATCATGTGCGGATGTTAGAAAAGCAACTGGGTTGGTCGAATTTTAACAGGTATATTTCCAGGGTAATTATAGGAGAGAAATCAAATCCACGTCTTTTTCAGAAACCAAACTTCACAATATGTAACTAGCAGACTTACCTAAGACGAGTGTTGGCCCCACTGTATGTTTCATAAGGCATTTCAACAGTTGAAAACTCAAATGGGTAAGTTTTCCTCTCATATAATTCACCAGGTACATCCAACTCGCGAACTGCAAAGTAATGAGATAAGCAAATCACTACTTGTAAACTAAAAGGATTTTAAGTCATAGTATATTCCCCTTTATGGGATAAAAGAGACCCCATTAAACTGAGTAATGACGATGACATTTTTGGAACTAAAAAGAGTTGCAGAGCCAAATAAATACTCTCTCCGTCCCATATAAAGAATCAACTTGAATGAGTGTATAACTTTTTAGTAAGGTACAACCCTAAGAAAGCACAAAGTTTACTTATTTTCTTAAACAAATAAAAGAATAGGACTTTTTGTGGGATGGGGAGAGTAGTGCATAAGCAATAAGTAGCTAACTGCATAAACATGATATATGAAAATGCTCCTGATCCATGAAGCAAAAGTAAACACTTCACTTACCAAGAGAAGTGAAGTCATAGAAGTTCCCTCTATCAGAGTACATTTCTGGAAAGGGAAAACAAGTTAGATGTGAGTCCCACTCTTTGAAATGAAATAAGGCGCAAATAAAAGATCTGCTTGCAAAGTAACAGGTGCTCGAGCAACATAATGGAGAATATTAATGGAACTGCACAAAACAGAATTGGAATGATTGACCAAACCTCATCTGATCTGGGGGACCCAAAAAATTAAAGTAAAATATCACTATGACATAAAAAAATTATAGAACTGAAATGTTGGTGCATCATATTATAGTTGTTTCATTATGAACATCACATCCAAAAAAAATTGTGCACCAACATGGTAAATATGTGATACTGGGAGAGAGAGAGAGAGAGAGAGTTAGTTAGTTAGTTAGTTAGTTAGTTAAGCTTTTCATTGGCATAAACCTCATTCATACAATGGCTTTCAAGATGTGAGCCTCATTGAGACAAGAACTAGATTTCTTAGGTGAAATGCTCCTATTAGAAAATGAACATTTTTGAACCATTAGCATTAGGATTATGTTTTATTTGTAGCTTTCTGTTATGTTTGGAATGAATACTTGGTTGCTCAGTACAATTAATGGACTGGGTATAACAACTATATTTTGATTTGAAAGGAAAGAGAAGGAGAAAAACGGCCCTACTAGAAACCATATACCAATGCTGAAAACCAAGTTAATACTAACCTATCTGCCCAAGAAGCTCAACTTTTATTCCATTGTGTTCAACCTTCTTTCCTGATATTGGTTCAATCGATATCTGAGGCATTATTTAAAAAGTTATATTTTCTCTAGGGGTAACATAGGTTTGAGCAAGGCAGATGAAATGGAATAGAAGGATAACAAACATAAAGTGAAAATTTACCTTCCCGGTAATGTTTTCCTGGCTATGAAAAAGTGGAGCCATTATTGTATGGCCATTCTCCTTCTTCAATGGTATCTAACAAATTTTTTAAAAAAATGAAGGTGGAGGCAAATGTGGAGCAAATACCAAAGATGAAAGCAATGTGAATTGTGAGCTAACAACATTCTAAAAGTATGTTTATTTCAATGTATCAGAATCATTTGCCAAAAAATTGAAGAATAGTTCTTTATATAATCAAAATTAGAAGAGTCTTATCTTACAGCATGATCATCAAAGGGGCTGTTAAATTATGCCCGTTTCATCGTAACTTTCCAGGAAGAGTACACAAAAGAAACTCCATCCCAGAACCCAATACTCGGGCATCTTTTTTTTTTTGTACTGGGAAATCATAAAAGCACAACTGAATTTAGAGTCTGAGAAAAGCAGCTGACAATAATCCAATACCTGCTTGCGTGACTTCGCGTCGGAAAATGTAACTGAAATGTGGCATGCAGGCTTGAAAGCTCCGAGTATATAGTTCTATAAACACACAGCACCCAAAAAAAATGGTATACCCAGAATATAAAATTCCAGCAATAGCAGGATAGTATGAAATGCAATATACATTTCCAGCAATAGAAGTACTAACAACAACAACAATAAGCAGAATTTGGAAAAGATTACCATGTTTACGAAGAACGAACTCTGATCAAAATTAATCCTTCAACCTGCATATTCCATAGACATAAAGTAAAAGTGGTAGCATAGCACATAGTATTTAAAACCCTGATCTGAGGGTAGAATCAACGGGAATCCTCCTTGAGTTCGTGAATCTCATTATTTTCACACCGGATAAACAGAATACTAGAAAATCAGCTGAACATAGAGCAGGGTGACTGAAGGAAGAGAGAGTTACCTGGGATCGGGACGAAGTGAAGAGCAGAGATTTCACGCACCTAATTGCAGTACCTTTTCATGTTTATTATTTTAATTAATTTGTGATTTTGATTAGGGTAAGTCAATTGCTACTTCTTCAACAAGACGAGAGTTAGAACTGATTTGTTTTTGACTTTTTCTTTAGGCCCCGTTTGGTATAAGGAATTCAAATTATGAAATTGCAATTGAGGACTTCAATTCTAATTCTGGTGTTTGGTAGCACGAATATGATGTGGATCTGGAATTGATGGTGCGAAAAATGAATTGAAATCGGTGAATTCAATTCTATGGAATTGAATCACATGGAATCCCAATTCCACCAATTCTGTATACCAAACGGACCATTATGGTCCGTTTGGTATACGGAATTGATGGAATTGGAATTGAATTGGAATTGAAATTCCATGGCATTCAATTCCATAGAATTGAATTCTCAAATTCCAATTCATTTTTTGCACTATCAATTCCAAATCTACATGATTTTTGTCTTACCAAACTCCAGAATTGGAATTGAAGTCCTCAATTCCAATTTCATAATTTGAATTCCGTGTACCAAACGGGGCCTTAACATAATTCTTCTTTTTTTTTTTTGAAAATCAAGGGAACATTATTCTTATTAAATTCTCAACTCTTTCTGCAAAACATCACAAATAATCGTAGGAGGGGTATCATCCCACTCCAGTAGATCAGGCATAGAATCAGAGGCTCGAGCCAACAAGTGAGCCACCTCATTCGCAGATCTACGAACAAAAGACAGAAAGACAGAATAAAACTCTGACATCAGTGTTTTACAATCAAAGACCAAACCTGAAAAGTATGAGAAATTTTCCTCACGCGCCTGGAGAGCAAAGTAAAGTGTCTGGTTATCCATCTCCAGTGTGATTATTCGGTATATAAATATGCCCTTAAGCCAGCTGAGTGCTTCACTTACCCCGATCGCCTCTGCCATGCACGCATCCTCCACCTGCCCTAGACCTCGAGAGGCTCCCTTCACAAAATATCCATTGCTATCTCGCACCACCATGCCCACTCTCGCCAAATGTGTGTTGGGGTTAAAACTCGCATCAACATTGCACTTTAGAGCCCCATGAACCGGCGGCTCCCATTGGTTGTGGAATGTGTTTCGTGTCCTTGCCACCTCGGGATCTTCTTGCTTCGCTTGCTGCCATGAGCGACTAGGGGCTTCGGTTGCATATATTTGTTATTCCACACCAATTGGTTACGTTGAGTCCAAATCTCTCAAAGGATGATTGCCACACATGCAACAAACTCTCGTGAGCTTTCCTTCTATAAAGCTGCGAACCACTGTGCAAATGATGGTTCCACATTGCCGCGCTCGCCGCCCACTTCCCTTAAGCATCGAACTGCAAACGGACATAACACCAGCCCATACAGCGTCGTTTCCTCGATGCTCAAACACCTCAGACATGTTGCAGTAATAGAAACCCCTTTACGCACCAGATTTGCCAGAACTGGAAGTACCTCATGCATACCTCTCCATATAAAATTCCTAACTTTTGGTGGAACATTTAGTCTCCAGAGGCCCTGCCACACTGCTTTGTCGAGATTCCCTCCCACCGCTTGGTCATTATGAGCTACTCGGTATCCTTGCTTCACCGTGTAGCGCCCATTTCGATCCCCGGTCCACATCCACCGATCCTTCTTGATAGACTGGCAGAGCGGGATGTTACAGATAGCCCGACTGTCCTCTGGCAAAAAAAATAGCATGAATCAGATCCCTATTCCATGATTTAGTTCCCGGGATGACCAGATCAGCCACCTTCGTGTCTACCCATTCACTTGGGAGCGGAGTGCGAATATAAGGATCTTCGTCTCTAAGCAACCAGGGACTGTTCAAAACCGTCGTATCCCTCCCATCTCCGATACACCGCCTGCACTGTTTTTTTAAAACCTCCCGACCTTCCAACAAAGCCCGCCATACAGCACCTGGATTATTACCCTTTGGCGCATGGAAGAAGTCATTATTAGGGAAGTAACGGGCTTTATAAATCTGATGGACAAGAGACCCAGGCCGAACAATAAGGAAGTCATTATTAGGGAAGTACCGGGCTTTAAAAACTATTAGATTGCGAAAATTCTACTATACTCGTATTTGTACCTTATTTTGTACTCTAAAGATTTGTCTTCATAATAAATGTAAATGCAAAATTGGTATTATGTCAGTATTGTACTTATATTTTATGTTAAAGTAAACTTTAGTACAAAATGAGATAGAAAGTGGAGTGAAGGTAACACAAGCCTTGCTCTTGATCCTCCAACTAGAGCTTTAGCACCGTTTGCATCTATCTAAACGATCTAACACATCTTAGTACTTGCACTCTGATTTTATAATTTAAGCACTAGCGATTTAGGTTCAATTACGGCGTTCGTTCATTCCTTTTATAGAAAAAAAGAAATAATAAACTTACTTTTAGTTAAATGAAATAAAGATTAAACTTTTCTTAAGGACATAAGAGCAAATTTACTCATATCTTATTAAATATATTTTCGATCTTAAAATACTTCTTTCATTTCAAATTAATTATCTTTATTTCTTTTTTGTGCTATCTCAAATTCATTTTTCTTTTTTGGAAAGTCTTTGTGCCTCACCTTTTTTTCTCTCTCCTCCACCAACTATACTTTTCTTAAACACCTATGCAAACTGCAAAATCGAACTAGGATTATTAATTTAGGACGGAAGAAATATTTGTCTTGTTTGATGTTTTTCAACCAAAAGTGCATTACATACTAATAATAAAATAGATGTTTGGAAAACAAATCTTAAAAAACATTTTTTACTCCACATTAAATACTTCCTCCGTCCCAATTTATAGTGTTTGTTTACTATTCACATAGTCAAACTTCATTCACTTTCTTTCTCTATTTACATTAGGAATTTGATAAAATAAAGTACTATTGTCACTACTAGTTTTGTAAATCTTTCGATGTATCATTTTAATATGTAATTTTTATTTTTTAACTCTATACCATTTATCATATAAAATGATTTGAAAATAATTTCAGTCAAACATCGTAAACTGAAATAGGCAATATAAATTGTGACGGAGGGAGTAAATGATACAATTTTATTTAATTATTGATCAACTTAATAAGTCTAGTGCACTATACTATAAAAATTCTTGTGAAAATACATGTTCTTTTTTAAAAGTATGTAAGAATTATCCATAAATAGCATCACATGTTTTTTTTCCAATGTAACACTTTTAGTCATTATCCATTAATCATTATTCAAGTAAATGTTCGCCATCAATGGATATTATTAAGTACTATTTAGGAAATAAAATAGTTTAAGTACTATTTAGGAAGATGACTTAAGTTTTAGTGCTATTTAGTACATATATTTCTTAGTAAAAATATGAGTAATTTTGAGGTATGCACATAGACACATACGGAGTATTTTTTTATTGGCTCTCCGCACTCATGTCTTTTTTATTTTAGCGCTTTAGCACACCGCACTCGAACTCGCTTTATGTAATCTAGGAATAAAATACTAATGCCTCAAGAGTTCTATCCTACTTATGTAGTTGTATTTTTATGTCCTACTCCCTCCGTCCCAATTTAAATCAGCCGTTTTGACTTTTGGACATATTTAAGGAAAATAAAAAATAAAGTTGATTTTTCGAAATTGACATTACTTTTTAGGAGGGATGATGATGAATTAAAAAAATAAAGTGAAGAAGAGTGACTTATTTTAGGGGTAGTTTAGGTATTTTATTTTTAAAAGTTTACGAAAACAACTAACAAGCAACTTATTTTGGGACGGGAAAAAAGGCAAACAGACGATTTAAATTGGGACGGAGGGAGTAGTAAATTAGTCAAAATTGTTTGTAAATTATTTTAACTTATAAATCAGTTGATAACGTATTTTTCTATGCTTAAAAGCTGACTTATGAATTGCTTATAAGAAAAAAAATCTTACCAACTTATTAAAATTTTACCCATTAATTTCATATCAAGCAACCATTCAAGTAACTAAAATGAAAAACCCCAAATTTTTATCCAAAAATTGAGTACCCTCAAGAACCCTTTTTTTGTCCAAACGCAATTGATTAAATTTAAATGTAGCAATCCGTGTTAAAATTAATACAATCATCACTAGTGACATCAACAACCACAAATACACGAAAAAACACGCATAAATCCAACAATACTAGAACTATACAGACATTTTTAAGTTTTTTCCACCCTTTTTATACACTACCTGTGAATTTTTGCCATTTCCCAATTGCCCAAATAGAGTTTACAACTGAATGACTATCAACTGCCACACACACTCCTTACTATATATACATGCATACATATATTACCTTGCTTCTAGGCCTCGTTTGGATTGGCATCCCGGGCAATGCCCGCGTCTAGGCAACTCAATCCCGAACACCAGGCGAACCCAAACGAGGCCTTTGGTTTGGCAAAGAAGATACAAAGGGATCTGCAGCACTTCTGATGTCCCAATGAATATATATATACTATAAATGTCCCCAAAGTAATAAGAGATGCAATCAATCAGCACCTCTCATCCCCTAACCAATTGTCCTTCTCTTTCGGCCCCGTGGGCCCCTCCTCGCCGTACAGCTCGGTCGGGAAGAGCTCGAACAGACTCTCGACCGAAAACCTGACGTAAAACGGGAGGTGGTTGATTATCTTGTCCAACTCGGACGCCGAATCGTACTCGACCCGCGGGCCCCACTCCCTCATGAACTGCAACCAATGAGGCTCCGCGACCACTCCCTCCCCGAGGTACTCTGCCGCGACAATCTCGTACTCCGAGCTCGAATCCACCGAATATTTGCTCCGGTCGCAATCGTTCCTTGCCCCTATCCCTAGCACCGAAGACCCCTGGATGTAACAACCCGGGCGAGGGAAACTGGCATGCCCGTTTCTTGAGGAATAGACGACCGGCTTGTTCCCGTTCATGAACTCCAACTCGCCCGCGGGAAGCCACTCGCCCCCGCTGTGTTCGGAGAAATACATTGACCAAAGTACCCCTGAGAAGTTGCTGACGCGGAGCGTGTAGTGCTCCCAGTCCCCGACGTGCTCCCCGATTCTGTTCATGTCATAACTCATCAGCCCCACCTTTAGGGTCGCGGGCCCATTGAACGGGCAAAACACCCACATCACGATATCCGTGTAGGTCCCGCCCAAAGCCGGTTTCACGTGGACATAAAGCTTGGCACTCTCGATGTTACCAAATTTGACGATGTTTCTCTTTTCCTCGTCGTAGGGCAAATCGATCCAGAACTCTCGGTCGTTTTTCCCGCCAGCTGGCAGGTTCGCTCCCGCGGGGTCGATGGCTGTACCGATATCGTCGCCGTCCTTGTACAGGAGGGCCCCAGTTTTGAAGAACCACGGAACGGACGAAGGCAGATAAACCTCGTTTGGATGGAAGTAAACGGTCGGTCCGTAATGCTGGATGAGAGCATGGATCTGATCAAGGTTTGGCATGGCATGCAGGGTGGAGTCCAAGTTCTTCAAGCAAGCAATGCTGAGGTCATCAGCGGATGTGCCGCAAAAGAATGTCCCGACCGAAACGCCCTTACAGTCAACACCCCTCTTTCCGGGTCTTGTTGTCCAAACTTGAAACTGCTTCTTATTGAAAATCGATTTGCTCGTAGTGAAAATCAAGGCACATGCATCCGCGGGTTCAGTAAGATCGGCCCGAACACACGTGGCATCTTCAAGGTCAGGCTCGTCGGGCTCAATGGTTACCAAAAAGCCCATCGGTTTGTACCCATCGGGTGCATTTGGAAGCCAAATGTGACCCGACCCGGTACACGAAGAAGCATCAGCAGTCCAAACCAAAGTGTAGCTCATGGGTTTCTCTAGAGGAGGGAGGTTTGATCCGGCAATGCAGCCGGAGCAATCTCTAGCGGCAAGAACATAGCCACTCAACTGCTTGCCATCAAGCTGACAATAATGGCCAAGAACAGAAAACCCTTTTGGGACATCAACCGGCTGATAAAACGTCACACTGTTTGATTTCCCAAATGATGACTTGATACTCCATACTTTTTCAAACTGAGTTATTTGAATCACTTCAATCTCCCCTAGGCATATTCTTCCCTTGCCAAAACCTTCACCTTCAGGTTTTTTTAAAGGATCAAAGTATTGAAAAGATTTGAGAAATGACAGAGAACTGAAAAAAATATTATACAAAATGTAGTTTTGTTTTCCAAAAAAAATCCAATCTAGGTATCAAAACATCCACCAATTTTTAATTCTTTTTTGTGAAAAATTCAAAGTACAAACATTTTCACAAATACAAATCTACATATCATCACTGTCTTCTCTATTCCACACAGGCATATATGCAAACACTTTGCCTGCATGTGTGTTGTCTATACAATATAAGGGTTTGGGGACATATCTTTTTCATCATACCATATGAAGAAAACAATTATTGATCAAATCAATAATTATAGAGAAAAATCACAATCATGGATCAAAAGAAATGATAAATTTGCAGAATATTTTTACCCAAAAAAAAAACACTTATTGATCAAATGAATGTAATAACTGTGACCAGGCAACTAAAAAAATTCACTATCATGGATCAATATAATAGAACTGATAAAATTGCAAAATATTAATAATAAAAACATAATCTTTAGCAGTGGAAATTCAAAGAGAGAGAGAGAGAGAGAGACCTTGAGGCCATTGAGGAAGAGGAGAAGGGAGAGAAAAGGGGAGAGGTTGCTCCCCTGGAAACAAGTCATAGGCTCTCTGTCTGTCCCAACCCCAATAGCAGAACTCCATCTCCAGCCAAACACGCCCTTAGGGCAGTTTCTTCTATATACTCTCCCTCCTCCGACTCTCCTTGAATTTCGAAACAGATCCGCCCTGCAATTCATAAAATTCCCCAAGAACCCACCAAGAATCTGCTCTCAGAAATGGGGAATTGTGGGTGGTTCTTGATGTTGACCATGGTGGGGTGGGGATATTGAACTGCCAAGAACCCACTTTGATTTCCTTCTTCTCTCTCTTACTTTCCCAATCTGCCTATTGCACTAATTTTAAATGATAATAAAGTAGCAATAGATAAATAAATAAAGGGGGAGGAAATGGAGGGGAAGGAAGTGATCTTTATAATTGCTTCAACTTCTTGAAGAGTCGTTCGTAGTTAGTTGGGTGACGATGGAGGAAGCTATAGCTCAGAGACAAACTGAAAGAGACGACAGATTGGCGTGCTATAAAGTATGCGTCCACGGGAAGGGTGGGTGGGACGTCATTCTAATCGCCTAACTCTCTCCCCATAATTGGCCCCCTCTAGCATCGTAGAGATTAGCGTTATCGTTTTGAAAAAACTATCTGACGGTAGCCTTTTGGTCTATTTGGGAATAGTGTTTGCGATTATCGTTAGCGTTTTGAAAAGACTATCTACGGGCAGCGTTTAGCATTAGCATTTTTAAAGTAATCTGCACCGTTAAAATTTTATCCAAAACTCTAAAGCTAATCACTAACGCTATTCCCAAACAGGCTCTATAGCGTTAGCGTTTTGAGAATTAATCTGCACCGTTAAAATTTTATCCAAAACGCTAACGCTAATCGAAAATACTGTTACCAAACAAAGCCAATATCTATCTATCTATTATTACCTCCGTCTCAGAATATTTGTCCACTTTCATTTTTACACACCATCCAATACACTTCTTTAATCCATTTTATCTTGTAATTTGTATATTAAAAAATTATAGAAATTATATATTAATAATTTATATGTTAAAACAAATCAAACAAGATCATACATGACTATATTTAGGCTTACACATTGAGAGAATTTGATGAGTCAAAGTGCTTAGATGAACGGTTCCAAAAGTCAAAATTGGACGAATACTCTGGGAAGGAGGGAGTATATCTACAAAAGAAGGATGCAAATTGAGTTCTACATCTGACGGTCCAATTTTAATCTCATTTACAATCGGACGATCCAATTTTAGAGTGCAACCGTGCGTTGGAAAACCGCCATCTTCTACGTAGACCATCTTCTCCCGATCCAATTTCATTTTTGACAAAATTCTGAGTGCAAATCGACGGCTTATCTCTTCAGCGACAACCGCCACCTTCTACCCCACACATACGCGCAATCACCGACAATATCGAGTACTCAAGCAAGACTAGATCGAGAGAAAGACGCAGAGGGAGGAAACGATGAAGCAATCCAACATGAAGAAGGAGAGATCAATGATTACTTTGAAAGCAGATGAGTTGCAGAGAAGCTAAATCAGGGAGTTCTTCCATAAATAATTTTATTCTAATTCCAAGATTTTGATTTTTTAAAAAAGGATTTTTGAACGGAGATTGACTCATGATGATAAGTAGGAATTTTAATGCATCATTATGATTTACCCCATTATTTATGTGAAGCTAACATATTGTTAAAGATGACTATTTCGTAAAATAAGTAAAAGGATTGCAATACAATATTTCTGTTCTATTGTTTCTAACTTCTTGTAACGCATACTTTTGTTGCTAATTCACCGGAAAGCTGGTGTATTTGAGTAGTGAGTTCACTTCCTACCAAATGCACAAGGCTGTTGAAATTGCTTAGGCATATGCAATATTTCCTTTCAAAGTTTTTAACAGACAGAAAAGGTAAACCCAGAAATAAGTGTTGGTTTTCATTGCAAAATTACTCTTTATATCGGACGAAGCTTAGCCATCACATGTTTTAAAACAAAAGGAATAGAGATTTTGTAAAACCTGCACTTCCCTTCTCCATTCTCAAGGCATGTGTTGGTTCCTGTGTTTATGTTCATTCACTTCATCCTTGGCAATGCTCATTTGAAGCAGGAGTATTTGGAGTAGCCAAAGCTAGCCATGTCCCCCCTTCTTTCGTGATAGAGGGAGATTTTGTTGGACCATTTGAGACTCACATGTATATTTACTCTGATAGTGTTTCCCTGTTATGTATATTGTCATCTTCAGCAATTCTTTCTTTTTTCTGTTTTTTATAGTCATCAGCTTGTTTTAAGGTCAAGGAAATGGTGGAGAAGATCAAATTATGGGCATTAGAGGTCTCTTTAAAAAGCCTATAAGAATGTGATATTTGTGAAGTAGGATGAATTGGGCTTCTGGAATGCAGTGGTGAGTTGGCCTCACGATGTCGATTGCCAGATGATTGGAGCACAAGTAGGTGCTGAATTGGAAAACGACTATCCACAGGTCTTACTCTCCCTACATTTTTCCCTTTTATTTAATATTATATCTTTAACTTTATTCTGTATTTGAGATTGAATATTGATGAATTTCCTATATCTACAACACTTAATGCGTGTTATTGTATACATTGTTATGCACATTATTATTTTGTGTTAGAATGAGACTGAGAGTAACATTTAATCTAAAAACTGACCATGTTTGTCTGTCTTGTGTCGTTGATGGCAGCAACTTATGTTCCAACATTAGAATAACTATTAGATCACACGTAATACCAACATAGAGTGTTTTGTGGAGGATCCACAAACAATGTTGATTGGGAGAGGATTTATGGTTGGACTGGTTTGTGGAGATTGATAATTATGAATTCATTATTTTTAGTCAATAAAACTGTTTTGGAATGTTTCAGATTCTAAAGTAGAAGTTTGATGCTCATATCTCCCCTTTCATTTAATACATCATCATTGGTAGTTAGAGATTACGAAAATACAAAAACACAGATTGAAGAGTAGAAGGAACTTTTACAGTCGACAACAATACTTAGACGGGGATGGTGATCTAGAATCGTAGCCAATGCTTGGACCGGTGTATGAAATTTATAATCAAGATTACCATGAGAGATAGAAAAACACTTTTTTTCAATGGAAATTTTCTTATCTAGCATTATACTAATAATTTTCTAATTGAGACATTCATTATGGCTACTTTCTGATCTTTTGCATTGGAAAAAGGGGAGTACTTTGTTTATCAAATCAAGCTTGAACCTACCTTAACGGAACTTCATTGTTATTCATGAAGTGATCAAATTTTTATCTTTAAGCATTTTCATCTTCACACGAGCTTTTTTCATAAAAAGGGAAAAGGAAAAAAAAGATCCTTTTAAGGCTTTAGCACTAAATCTTGATGTATCCAAAAAAAAGTTGTATTGAGATTAAAAATAAGTGATGCAATCTTCAATAAATTTCAGGATGCAAGCCTTGCAATTTTGTTCTCTCCCTTATCCCTTGGTCATCCATGACATTGCTAAGCAATATGATAGGAGCCACTTCCTATTTTTAAAAACCGCTTAAAAGTTTAACCAAACAAGTGGCAACAAAATATATTATTTTATCATATAGACTAAGAAAAAATGTAAATAAATAAAAGGTTTTGTGAAGTTAGAATAAAACTCTATGAAGAAAGAAATGAGGCAAAATTTGTTTCATTGCATGTACGTTGAATTGATCCATTCTTACATTGCATGTACGTTGATTTGATTCAATTCATTAAAATTTGTTACTTCCATATTATTTTTTTCTGACTTGAACTTCACATTTTATACTTAACAAAAAATAATACTCAGTACTTATATTTAAACTTTCGAACTCTATCACAGTTTTATCCCAAGAATTCTGGATATATATTATATATTGCCCTAAAATTTATAAGATTATTTTTCCGTGCATCGCACGGGTGGAGTAATAGTTCTACTCAAATGATGGGAGGAAAAAAGAAGATTACACTCCTAAAATAATCTTCAATAATTATGTGTTTTCTTATATAAATCCCAACATAAACTAATTATTGAGATAATTTTTATTATATGAAAATGCTGCTTAATTTTGTCTTCTGACTTACGGCCGTCAAAATGACGTCAAAACAACCTTAGAATTGATAAAATATCAAAAAAATAATCAATCCTTTTTTAAATAAAAAGTGCATTAAATACGAAAAGTAATTTTAAATATTATAAAATATAATTAATGAAAATTCATGTAAATAAAATACTATTTAAAAAATAATAAATAAAGGTATAAGTACAATTTAATAAATTGAATGTAAATGTTTCAGGTTATTTAAAATTATTTAAAAGAAATATCATGTAAATAAAATATTTAATAAATATTATTTATTTGCTCCCTCAGTTTTGTTATTTGCATAAGTTTTAACATCATTTGGAAAGTTAACATAAACTTTAATATCGTTTTGATGCAGTTTTGATCGTCGTTAATTAGTTGGTTGAATAAACTGGACATTATTCATAATTAATGAGTAATATATATCTCGGTAATTAATTCATTTTATAGGCTAGTTTAGAAAACCACATAGTTATTGGGTACCGCTTAAAGAATATACTCCAAACAAAATCAACTTTCTTCCCATTTCAAACTTGAGTAAAGTGATAATGACATTCCCCAAAATCATAATATAACACCAATTCAAAACTTGAAATGTGAAAAAATTATTGACTTAAGGGCCAAGATTTGACCTCCAAAATAACAAAATGTGCGGGATGCAATTGAAGAGGATGCTTAAGAGTTGGTTTGGGCTCATGATTCATCAAAAAATTTAAAAAATAAGAAGCATTAATTTTTTAATCAGAATATCATAAAATACTTCTGTGTTGTGTCATATTACGACACCCAAAGTGGGTGTCAATATAACCTCACGGAGTCATCGACACTTAATTTGGCCCCTAAGATTGAAGACATAGAAAAATTTCCTGTAATTCTTAGATTCATTCTTATTTTATGAATCTTAAATTAAGTCATGAAATGATTAAATATGTTAGGCTTGGTCAAACAAGAGAGATCCAACTAAGAGTCAAAACACAATTTATTTCGGTCCAAAGCCCAACAACAATTTATTTTAATCAGAACAAATTTGACTAATTGAATATTTATTCATTAAAAATTTTAGGGTATGTTTTGGAGCGTTACAGTTTTATTTGAGCTAAATGAAGTGTATGTTAATTCTTTTTATTTTATTAATTTTTTTCAAACACAAAAAGTTTTGTTTGTTAAAAAAATACTCTCTCCATCCCAATTTATATTGCTTTTTCGGTCTGTGATGTTTGGCTGAAATTATATT